CTCCATCCTGGTGATCCATCACATCCCAAAAATCCCCATCCTGGGGATCCATCACATCCGAAAAAGGCTCCATCCTGGTGATCCATCACATCCCAGATATCCATCGCTCTATCCTGGTCATACTTCACATCCCAGTCCTTCATGGATCCACCCCATCTGTACATCACATCCCAAAAATCTATCACTCCATCCTGATGATCCATCACATCCTGAATATTCATTGCTCCATCCTGGCCATGCCTCCCATCCCAGGCCTGCATGGATCCATCCCATCTGGGCATCATATCCCAAAAATCCATCACTCCATCCTGGTGATCCATCACATCCCAAAAAGGCATCCTCCATCCCGGTGATTCATCACATCCCAAAAATCCATCACTCCATCCTGGTGATCCATCACATCCCAAAAATCCATCGCTCCATCCTGGTGATCCATCACATCCCAAAAATCCATTGCTCTATCCTGGTCATACTTCACATCCCAGTCCTTCATGGATCCATCACATCCCAAAAATCCATCGCTCCATCCATCACTCCATCCTGGTGATCCATCACATCCCACCCATCCATTGCTCCATCCTGGTGATCCATCCCATTCCAAAAATCCATCGTTCCATCCTGGTGATCCATCACATCCCACCCATTCATCATTCCATCCTGGTGATCCATCACATCCCAAAAATCCATCGCTCCATCCTGGTGATACATCACATCCCAAAAATCCATCGCTCCATCCTGGTGATCCATCACATCCCAAAAATCCATCGCTCCATCCTGATGATACATCACATCCCAAAAATCCATCGTTCCATCCTGGTGATCCATCACATCCCAGATATCCATCGCTCCATCCTGGTCATACTTCACATCCCAAAAATCCATCACTCCATCCTGGTGATCCATCACATCCCAGATATCCATCGCTCTGTCCTGGTCATACTTCACATCCCAGTCCTTCATGGATCCATCCCATCTATGCATCACATCCCAAAAATCCATCTCTCCATTCTGATGATCCATCACATCCCAAAAATCCACCGCTCCATTCTGATGATCCATCACATCCCAAAAATCCATTCCTCCATCCCACCCATCCATCCCATCGTTCCATCCATCGCTCCATCCTGATGATCCATCCCATCCCAGCCATCCCTCATTCCACCCCAGCTCTATTCTGTGCTATTCCCATTTTACACCTCCCCATCTCCCACTGGGATCCAGGAGCTTCCAGAAGCCGGGATCATGGATGAGCCATTCCCACACCACAGCACAGGGATCTGGGTGCTGGCACAATTTTGGATCAACTGGGAAATCTTCCCAATTACACCAGAAAAGAAGAGAAATTTCACCACCAGGGTGTGGAACCGATCTCATCACAAATCTGAAGGCAAAGCTTTGGGAAAAAGCAAAGCCACAATTCCATAATCCATCGCTGTCCCACYGCTGYCCCCGTCCCCAAGTGCCACATCCACAGGGTTTTGGGATCCCCCCTGGAATGGGGACAGCCCTTTCCACGGAGAAATATTCCCTAAAATCCAATCTTGAATTTCAGCTTCCACCTTCCAGAGGGGAAAAACCCTGGGAAGCGGCTGGAGGACTCAGGCAGCGCATGGAATTTTCCATTTCCATGTGAAATGAGTGGAGAAGGACGGGGGCGGCAACTGGAGGTGGGACACAGCTGGGGCTGCTGACCCGGGATGGTCACTGAAGGGATGGAATTCCACAAAAATTCCTTGGTGGCTGGAGGAGCTGCTACAGYGACCACAAAAATGCAGGAAATGGTGTTTCACTTTCTCCAGCTGCTGGAGGAGCTGCCACAAGTGATTCCAAATGTGCTGGAATATTTTCCATTTCCCTGTTCCCGGTGTGTGGGCACAGGCATTTCCAGGGGATTTTTGTGGGATGGATGAGGCTTTCCCAGCCCCAGGGCAGCACCAAATCCTGATATCCACCACAGGCAGGATTTCATGGAATAATGGCACCAAATCCTGATATCCACCCCAGGCAGGATTTCATGGAATAATGGCACCAAATCCTGATATATACCCCTAGGTGGGATCTCATGGAATCATGGCACGAAATCGCAATATCAACATCTCACAGGATTTCATGGAATCATGGCACCAAATCCCAATATCCATCCTCTGCAGGATTTCATGGAATCATGGCACCAAATCCCAATATCCACATCTCACAGGATTTCATGGAATCAGGGCACCAAATCCCAATATCCACCCCAGGCCGGATTTCATGGAATCACGGCACCAAATCCCAATATCCACCCCAGGCCGGATTTCATGGAATCACGGCACCAAATCCTGATATTCACGCTTCACAGAATTTCATGGAATCATGGCACCAAATCCCGATATTGATGCTTCACAGGATTTCATGGAATCAGGGCACCAAATCCCTGTGCAGAATTTTATGGAATCATGCCACCAAATCCCAATATCCATCCTGTGCAGGATTTAATTGAATCATGGCACCAAATCCCAATATCCACTCCTAGGCAGGATTTCATGGAATCAAGGCACCAAATCCCTGTGCAGGATTTCATAGAATCATGGCACCAAATCCCAATATCCATTCCTAGGCAGGATTTTATGGAATCATGGCATCAAATCCTGATATCCACCCAAATCCCAATACCCACCCTAGGTAGGATTTCATAGAATCATGGCACCAAATCCCAATATCCACCCCTAGGCAGGATTTCATGGAATCATGGCACCAAATCCCTGTGCAGGATTTCATGGAATCATGGCACCAAATCCTGATATCCACCCCAGACAAGATTTCATGGAATCATGGCACCAAATCCCAATATCCACCCCAGGCAGGATTTCATGGAATCAGGGCACGAAATCCCGATATCCACCCCAGGCAGGATTTCATAGAATAATGGCACCAAATCCCGATATTCACGCTTCACAGAATTTCATGGAATCATGGCACCAAATCCCAATATCGATGCCTCACAGGATTTAATGAAATCATGGCACCAAATCCCGATATTGATGCCTCACAGGATTTCATGGAATCAGGGCACCGAATCCCTGTGCAGAATTTCATGGAATCATGGCACCAAATCCCTGTGCAGGATTCCATGGGATCATGGCAACAAATCCTATATCCACTCCTAGGCAGGATTTTATGGAATCAGAGCACCAAATCCCTACATCCACTCCAGGCAGGATTTCATGGAATCAGAGCACCAAATCCCTGTGCAGGATTCCATGGGATCATGGCACCAAATCCTATATCCACTCCCAGGCAGGATTTCACGGAATCATGGCACCAAATCCCTGTGCAGGATTTCATGGAATCATGGCACCAAATCCTGATATCCACCCAAATCCCGATATCCACTCCAGGCAGGATTTCATGGAATCATAGCACCAAATCCCGATATCCACCCAAATCCTGATATCCACCCCAGGCAGGATTTCATGGAATCAGGGCATCAAATCCCCGTGCAGGATTTCACGGAATCATGATACCAAATCCTATATCCACTCCTAGGCAGGATTTAATGGAATCATGGCACCAAATCCCAGTATCCATCCCTTTTTTCCCATCCCGTTCCCGTTGCAGCGCGATGCAGCCGCCCCAAGGCCGTGGCCAACGCTCGCATCGACATCACCGGCAACGGCGCCGAGCTGAATTCCCGCCTGCGCTACTCCTGCAACCCGGGATACAAACGGAAAGCCGGCACCTCCAGCCTCATCCAGTGCATCCTCTGGAACGGCTCCGAGCCCCGCTGGACCGACCCCACGCTCCAGTGCATCCGTAAGACCTCACTGGGAATTTGGGAGCGCAGACACCCCCATTTCCASAGGATGGAAAGAGACACGGGCACTCCACAATTTCTATTTCTTCCCAAAAAAAAGCAGCAGTGGGTGGGAAATTATAGAATTKAATCCATGGAATTCGGATCATGGATGGTGTCAATGGGTTGGAAAAACAAATTAAATTCAAAGTTTAGGGTCTGCCAACCATTGGAGCTCTCAGAGTTGGGGGAGGAAGTTAAAGAGGGAGAGGAATTTATTGCTGAGGATTGAACACCAGGAATGAGGAATTTCTAAACCCCAACAACACTTTTCATAAAGCAGAGGTGCCCAATCTGGGAAAACATTAARAGGCTGAAAATATGGATTAATTATTATGAGAGAAAATAATAATTAATAATCAATAGAGGATAAAATGCTAATTAATGACTTGAAGCCAATGAACAGTAATTTATTTTATTTTGCTAAAATGTAAAAAGAGTTAAAATTTCCTGACATCTGGGTTTTGTGGGATTTCTGCTGGACCTCAGTATTGGATACAATAACATTCCTCACCTTTCCAATAACTTAATTTTCTAACCCAAAAAAGAGAATTGATTTCCCAGCTGATGGTGTCTCCCTGTTGTGTTTTTCCAAAGGAGATCCGGCTCTTTCCCAGCAAAGTCCCAGCCCGGAGAGCACAACCCGGAGCGGTGAGGAAAGGGATTGGGATTGACTTTGGAGCTGCCACGGCAAAGCCACAACTCCCAGGGGGTGGGAACCACAAAATCCCCATGGATCAAACTCATCCAATCAAGAGAAATCCCAGTATTTTGTAGCTTTTGGATGGGGCGTGGGAATAACGGCGCTGCCTTTGGATTTGGGGAATTTAAAGATTTCCCGTTTTCCCGGCAGGAAGCACCGGTGCCAGCCCAAATTCCAGCCCGTCCCCAACTCCTGGACTGTCACCAGTGCCACCAGCACATGATGGGCTGTCCCCAGACCAATCCAGGCCACCGGAGCCACTCCCAACATCCGAAACATCCCTGGCAGGAGAGGGGACAACAATCGCCCCCACGGATTACGCTGCAGGTTGGGACATTTCCTGAGGGAATCCAGCTCTCCAACCAGCAAAGGCTCTTTCACTTTTCCAGTGGAATTTTTTCTTTCTCTCCAACCTCTTTTCCAGTGAGGCTCCTCTCAGCATCCCCCCCYTTCCTACCTTTGCAGCTCAAAATTTCCTTTTCTCTCTTCTTTTCCAGTTTTCATCCCGTCTGTGGCCTCTTCTGTCGGTAAGCTGGGAAAAAAATTAATTTTGGCAAGCAGGGGCTTATTTTCTTTATTTTTTAAGCCTCAAAATCCTTGTTGGGACTGTGGGAGTTTTATTCCATGGGAATGCCATTAAGGAGGGGGAAAAGGGTTCAGCACCCAAATTTCTTCCCCAAAATCAGAATTCCCAATTCCATCCCTTGTGATGGTGCCTGGAGTGGTTTTGGTGGAATTTTCCTTGGGTTGGAAGATGCTCCTCACTCTGTGTGTCCATCCCCCAGGATTCCTGGTGTTCCTGGCCGCTGGAATCGTGGCCTTCTGCTGCTGGAGGAAGAGGTGAGTGCGCCAAACCCCGGGGATGAGTTTTCCTCAGCTTCTCTGCTTTCCCAAAAATAAAAAAAAACATGGAATGGGRTTGATTCTCTTCTCCCCTCAAGGCGTACCAGGGAGGGCTACGCGATGACSGACACCGACATTCCCATGGCGGCTCGTCCCTCTGGGAACACAGAGGTGACACCTCCTGTCGTTGTCCCCACGGGCTGAGCACCCACGGTGGGGACACTCGGCGCACCCACCGTCCCCAGGGATGCCAGAGGATGGAGAGTCAGAACCTTCCCTGAGGGGTCCCGTCCTCCCCGGGACGCGGGGCTGCTCTTCCCGGCCCCAACGAGCAAATCCCACGGATGAGCCGGCTCCGGCGCAAAAAGGTGGGTGGAGATCACGAATTGGGAGCTGGGATTTGGGGAATTGGCTCTGGGTGGGCAGGGAGAGGGTTGGGATGCTGGGATGGGGTTTGGGATGAGGCTGCCCCCAGGTAATTCCCATTTCCTGTCAAGGAGCACGGCCATGGTTGGATTAGCTGGACACTGCCCCATCCCGAGAACGGCTTT